TCTAGTTTTATTGTTGGAATGAAATATAGCAAGACTTGCATTTCCTACTAAGAAAGTTAGTAGCCGGTAATCATCAGGTTAAATTAGTCCCCAAAAAGCATAGTTTAAGTAAAACTATTGGTAAGTTTTTTACAAAGTAACTTTTAATGTTTGTCATAGGATACGAAAGATTCAACAAGAGGAAAGAACTCAGTTTTTGTACAACAAATGCCAAGAGTGGAAATTAATATGGTTCCTAGTGAAGTACTAAGTACAATATCAGATGAAGAAGAATTTGAAGATGAACAACAAAACAATAAAAAAGAAAACATTACTTTGGAGCCTAAAAAGAAAGATAATATCATGACTGGAAAAGGTATTTGATATATTTTATTCATTATAAAAAAAAATAGACATTAAGATATAAATGTGAAAATTATTATAATTTTTGAATCTGTTGAAATTTGAAATAGCAGAGTTTAATTTTTTTTAACATAATGTTGTCAGTCCACACTATTATGATGAAGGCAGATACAAAAGCATCTTGTAAGAATATGCATTTTAAGTTTGTTTTTTCTTCCAAACAGATTCTCTTTAGGCATACTTTGTGCTAAAAATTGTTCTTTGATTAATTACTTTTCACTGAAATATGAGGAAGTCGAATTTTCGAGTTTAATTTATGTCACTGTATAGATTTAAAAGCATTTGATCAGTTGTTAAATTGCCTGTTAATAAAACAGTCTGATACTTTTTATACTGTGTATTGAAAATGAGAAAATTAAGAAGAAAATATGATAATTAGAATACAATAAACATTTATCAGAAAAGTTTGATAATGTATCATATATATATTTTTATTGTCCAATCAATTTATTTTAACACCTTGAAATAATTTGAAATCATTACTTACAGTATTAATTAAATTTATAAGCATTATTTACCGCATAAATTGTTTGAGAATTACAGATAAAAATACTTATAATTAACTATTTACATATATGGAGGTTAAGTACCTTATGGTAAATCAATTTTGGAGCTTCACTATGTTATTACAGTCCATGTCACTGCATCTGATCTTGCTCTAACTGATAACCATGCATCTTGACAATAGTTGTGTAGTAAAGTTTCCATTGCAAAAAGCTTCATCACAGGGCTATCATGTCCAAACACATCATTCCTCTCTGCATGCCTTCCATAATCCATCTAGTATAATATGGCACCAAATATGAACACCTTTTCAGTTGTGGGGTCTTTATAATGTGGCATTTAGTCCCATTATTCATTGGTAAATGAGTAGCCAAAGAGTTGGAGATGAGTGCTGCTGGCCATTTTCCTTCCCTCTGATCAGCATTTCAAAATGAGGAATGGTTGCAGATAGCTTTGTAGCTTTGCCAAAATTCACAACAAACAATCCAGAAAGATCTAGTGTACAAAGATTATGGTTAACCAGTACCCGTTTCAACTGTCTGATTTCATAGAAATGTATAGGTGCTGCATCCAATGACTTTACCAGTATGCCTGTATGTCTTCACTTGGAATAGCATAAATACCTGTTTCATTCTTCAACTATCTGAGTGAACGTATACTTGTTGACCTCATTTCCAGATGTAGATCTTTCTGGATTATGTTGCATGCTGTTACCCGAGGCACATGGACAGCTTTTGCCACTAAACTTTGTGTTCAAGGGTTCTCACCTGATACAAGATACCTTTTTTTGCTTATCAAGTTTGGGGTATGGCTTGTTGCATGTCTCATTCAGGATGATCCTGGTGCTCCAAGGTTTTCCATATTCCTTTGTTTTCCAGTGCCATTAAATACAAAAACTCAAAAATGTGATAGTTTTGTGAAAGTTTTGTATCTCAACCACTGTCTATCAATAAAAATTATTTTATTGATTGATTAATTAATAAATTGAAATTACAAAACTAAAAGAGCATACTCAGGCTAATTATTTTGAAAATCTGTAGTTTTCATAAAATTTACATTTTATTTATTTTCTACACATGCAGTAGTTTTATAAGAAAAACTGAAATATTAAAAAAACTTAGGTTGTCAAACTTGCATGGCCCCTTCCCAACAATTTGCTTGTAACTTAAGATTACAAATATTGTAATAACAACAACAACAAAAATAACCAGCTCATTTTGTATTGGAAACTTTTCTAAAATGTTCTTTCTATTGGAAATGGTGTAATAAGATAATGCATTTATCATTAAGTTCAATTTTTAAATGATATATAATGACCATTTCATACTAAGTTAAGAAGTTTCTGAGTTATAAAATCTTACTCTTAAAACCAGTTAGTAAATATTGAATGTTATTAGATAAATGTATAAATAAAAAATTATAATAATGAAGAACTCCAACAATTAAATATCACTGATGTTCATCTAAGCTTCTCAAAAATACTACTGAATGATTTCATAAAAGACAAACAGTGTTTGAAAAAATATCTTTAATAACAAACACAGAAAGTTCTGAAGTAATTGTGTCAAGACACTCCAAGAAAAACACAATTTTAGAATTTGTAATTAGCAGAAGTTCATTCTTCATTTGCAAAGAATCTTGCTGTATGAAAATTTTACAACCTACATTTTTAAAACCCAGTTATATCACATTCTTTATAATAGACTTGATTTTCATTTTTCTCTTGATTGCTTGCCATCACTGTCATGTTTTTATACCAGTGATTCTTAAACCATGATGAACAGTGCACCAGGAAATGTGCAAATTTCATGTACATTTTTTTAATAGTAAGGTTTTGTAATTTGAAAGAAACGTTTTTAGAAAAAAATAACACAAAATATATAAAAAGGAGAAATATGGAAAATAACTCTTTTATCTTGCCAACATTTGACTTGTGCTGTGTGGTTTTTCCCTGGCAGTCTATCAAATTGTAAACTATGGAAAGGTGCAATTTGTTTTTCTTTGCTTAGGAAGGCTTACTGCAACAAATTTTGAGAGCTATTGTTTTATACTTATCAGTCCTGGGATAGCAGGAGACCAACATGATTAGGGATTTTTTATTAATAGCTCACTGTGTGGTTGGTCATCTTGTCTAGTGCTTAGTAACAAACCAATTTATTTCTGACAGTATAATTTACCTCTAATGAAGAATTCTCAGAAATTTTAATGTTATTGTACAAAGTTTATATTCTACTAAAAAAATTATACTTTTATTTTCACGTTCCGTTTATTTTATGCAAGGACAAATAATATGACTCAATTTTTAAAATAAATCATAAGGCTTATTTTTTAATGGAAAATATAGGTCATAAAGGTAACTTAATATATTTGAGTGAACTTTTTAAAAAAAATAGCAGTTTTGGCATCACGTCTTCAAGCAAACGGTTTTAGAAAAAAAAGAAAAAAGATTTAAGTATATATTTGATCAAAACTCATTTTCAGCCATAGAAAAATATAGCCCAGGGAGTTGTGCACAAGACCAGGAAAAACAAGAAAGGGTTGTATCCTCGCTCATTTCAGTAAGTTGTTATTTCAACAGTAGCAAGGGAAAATAATTCTTTTAAGTACCACTGTCTGTTATGATGTTTAAGTATTCATAAGAGATACACCATATTATTTCTATCATATTGTCTTTATGCAGTTTCTATGACAGCACTAAGTTGCTTATGAGTAATTATGTAATCTTCTTTTTTAGATATTTTTATTGTGATCATAATTCTGTAAAAACAAATAATAATGGTTAAGTAAAGAAGATACGAGGAAAGCACATTTAGGTGTTTATCTATATTGTGCGTAACAACAAGAAATACCAAAAACCTTCAGAAGGTTTGTACTGTTGTATTTTATTTTAGATTCTAAATTTATGATAAAAAGAAAATTATTTATTGTAATTCTAGTTATTATAACAATTTTTAACAGTTCTAAGCTCATGGTTACTGTACATGACATAAGAATAATACAAAAAATTATTATATTCTGTTTTTGAGACATACTTACATATAAATTATATCAAAACATTTCTTTTGTTAACCACTTTACCTCATTATAGTAAAATAATGACAGAGGAACTTCTGAACTAGAACATTTATAAATGAATCTAAGCAGAATTTTCAGTATATTTGTATAGCAAGCTATCTCTTTCTCTCTCTATTGATAATTGCAGATGTTCTCTTTTTTTTACATAAATTTAAAGATTGTTTCTGTCGTGAAGATTTTCAATGTATGGTTAAAATGGTATATAAATCTCTTTTTGTTCAGCATTTATACACCCACACAAAAAAGAATCCAAACACTAACTGTTAACTCTTCACATGGAAATTATCATCCAAGAATTTCTCTGTGTATCTCAGGGGTGGTTTGTGGAAGTAATTTTATGTCAGTCAAGTACAGATGACTCTCCATCCCTCTCAGTTTTGATGTATAGTTTGTGTGATCATAGTCAAAAATATGGTAGCGTAGTAGTAAATGAAAATAAGTGAAATGGCCATAGTCCATCCCTCTCAGTTTTGATGAAGTCGGGTAAGATCTCAAACAAATCCTTGTAGTTTGCAGAGTGAAGCCCTTACATTATGTGAACACATCTAGTTCCTCTTGACAATTCTTTCATGGTCTCTTAAATTTTATCTTCTTTGGATTCAAACTCATCTCTCTAAAAGTTATGTCAGTCAAGCACCCTGTCTTGTGGGCCCATTGCAATATTGACTTCCATTTCAGTGTCCACAAAACTTCATATGTTAGTTTGTGTGCACCAAGAGCTCTATTTATGCTTTACCTAAAAGACTTGCATGTGTTAGATTGTTACAATAGATAATAGCTTCTATCCATACATAATCCAGCCTAGCACACTTCTTCTGCTTTCCAGTGGGTTGTATGAAGTTCATTAGTATAAGCCATCCACCCAGTCTAATCAAAACGTTGTCATACTCTCTTAAGCCACACCAATTCCTTCATTTTACAAAACAAGGCTCAATAAATAGTAATCACTATGTGTGTGTGTTGACCAAGATGTCTTTAAATATCCATGAACTCGTAATGACTGTATATAGTAGGTCACATTCTTATGCTGGTTATTTGATGATTGGAAAAAACTCAGCTGTTGTCACTTCAGGACAGAGAAGTGGGTGCTCTGTGAAATTCTTACTACCCAGTTAGTTTTTTTTTTATCTTTACTATTTACTTTACTTATTGCCAACTATGCCATATAACAATTTATTTTGCATTGAGTCTACTATTGTCGTGTTCTTCAAATATATATGAGTGTTTAACTCCAAGTGATGATCCAGGTCTGTCTTTGACATTGTTTCATTTGACAAATTTTTTCTAGAACAGATCTTTTCAGTTTTTTCTTTGTTGATTAGTATCAACTGTTCACTTTCCTCTGATGTTGGACCTCTTTGCCAAACAGCAATCTTTATAACATGTAAGGTGTTTTTTCCATCAAGGTTTTCCCCAAGTATGTCAGCATTATCTGCCAAGAAGTGAACAAATCAGTTACATAGGATGCTCTTTGATGTGAACAATTTTCCATCATCTTTATATTTGTCCAAGATTTTTTCTGCTATGCTTGTGTCTGTGCTTCTAATTGTTTCATAACTCACTGAATGATATACTCCATAAAGTAAATCTATCAAATGTTTGGATCTGGTTTCATGACGAATCATCATACCTATTCCAATATGCTTTGGAGTTAATTTTCTTCCTTCTATCATGCCATGTGGAAGATCTTGAGCCATACTTGTCTGGCCTTACTTTCTTCTTGATTTTCTGCATCTTCACCAGTTACAATTTTATCTTGAGCATGAGGAAAAGACAGTTAGGTATAACATCTTTCACATGGTATTCATCAACTTTTTTCTGACATTGATGTGTAGTTGTATTTACCCTGTCTCTCATTATTTTCATGGTTACGTGAATAAAGGTTTGTACTAAGAAATTTTGGCATTCTCCTTTGGGAAGATTGAAAGATTTATGTCAATCCAAGGGCTCAACAAAATTTACTGTATCACACACTTTTTTTTTGATAATCTATATAACTTGCTCTGTGTAACACATTCATTTTAGATTTATCTCTATACATAGTTGAAATATCCAAGTAGCTCTGCATTACTACATCCATACTGTAAATATTTCATTGTGAAAGTTTAATTGTTAGTTCTTGTACAAGTTTGTTGAATAACCTTTCACATGATTTGTTTTCTCTTCTTCATTCATTGCTTGAACTCTAAGTATCATTTTTAGATGATACTTTTCCTCTTATGCACTGAGATAAAGTATACCTGCTAGTTTGATTGACAAGCTCAAGTTTTTGTGAGCCTCACTGATGATGCTATTTTACATATTGAATGTTGTCACATTTTTTAAACCACTGTTTTTTTTACTGCTTGGCAAAAGATGCAGAGTATTCATTTCACATCTATCATTGAACCCCTTGACCTTTGTCTTTCTACAGTTTCTACAACAAAATAGTTCATGTCTAACTCTCAGTCTGTCAATATTTCTTTCATTTATGAATGAACTCTAACAGTATTTGTGCCATTGAACTTTGTGAGACTGGTCACTTTTCCATAAGATCTAATTATTAATTGTTGTCTTGATCATCATACTTCCTTCATAATTTGATAAACTTTTGAATTATTTGAGTGCTTTATTGTTGTCTGTGCATGAATGATGATTTATCTGGTCTTTGGCAGAATAAACATTTGTAAATATATTTATTTGTAACAGTTAGTTTACACTTCAACTTTACAGGTGGTTTTGTGGTGCTATTGATCATCTATCTGAAAGGAAAAAAAAACTATAATTAGTTTCATTCATGATATTTAGATAAGTATATAGGTTCATTTATTATGATCATTCTTTACTAATTGCTATAGTCATCCACAGTTAAGGCTTTCAGACATGTGAGATACACCTTAGATGCTTCTTTCCTGATTAATCTATGTAAGAAAGGTAAATGTAAATGTAATCCACTCTTAATAATATAATCAGATATTGTGCTAGTTTTCACTAAACCTGTATTTTTCAAAAAACAACACCTTTTTTACAATTTTTTATAACCCCCTCCAATCCCCCTTAAGGAGCCTCGAGTCACCTGAAATAAACTATCTGTTAATTAATAATAATTCCATCAGAAAAAAATAAATAAATAATATAAATAACAATAGCACTATAATGCTACAAAATGGAGAAAATATCCAGAATTTTTTAGTATGCATTTCTCAACAGGAGCAAAAGATTTGCATTTCTCCTAGTCAATCTGTGATATGTTACTGTCATTTTGAGTCATAGTGTACTATTTCATTAAAACATGTCATCAGATGTATTTTCTAGAAATTTAGTCACATTTTGCCACCCACATTGGATGGAATGACTATTCCTACTTCCAATAGCTCTTTGAATTGTGTTTGCAAATAATCAGCTTCAAGGAAGCTTACACCCACAACTTATTCTAGATTTACAAATCATCTTTTACAGTGCTGTTTTCTATGTAATAGAGTGTTCTGTGATTTTTATTTTTCATTTAAGGTGGCCAGTTTTGAATTATTTTCTATTTGAGGAACTTCATTGTATTCTTTTATGTGCATAATTGTGTAGATTTTTTTTTGTTGTTGTTGTAGTTTTTGCTGGTGCTTCCACTTCTTTAGATATTTAACCATTTCTAAAATTCACAAGAGACTCATTTCATTTTCTTTTCAGACTCATTTTGTTGTAGTTAAAATTGTTTTTCCATACTAGCAGTTCATTTTCTTTCTTCAGGGAGTATGTTTTTTTTTTTATCACAGGCTTCTACTGAGATCTGTTTAGCCATGGATGGTATGACAGTTTAGTATTGTACATGTAAACTATTCTCAATCTGATTATGCTCAAATACATTTCAAAGTGCTGGTGTAAGAATATGTTTTTTATAAACTAGAACATAATTATCGAATAGCAAAAACAGGGAAGAATAGAGAAAAGTTTTAGCACAACAGTGTCTTAGAAAGCTTAATATGCATAATTCTAAAAGTTCTGAATTTCACTAGTAAAACTACATGTCAAAACAGTAAGTGACTACTTATATTTTTCATTCTATTAATAGGAAAAATGGAAGAAAAGAGACAGTTTGTCCAAAAACAAGAACCTGATTCCTGAACTGATGGAAACATCAGAAACAGAGTCAGCTAAAGGAAGTGCAAGTGGTAGTATGGAGAGTGAAGCTGCTGACCTTCCTGGCTTAGATATAGTAATTCCACCAACAGCAACCAGTGATTCTGCATTCCCCAGTATTCCTGACAGTTTCTTAAGACGTATAGGACTGCATAAGGATTGCCCTTACAGGTATAGCATTCTTATCTTATTAAGAGCATTTGTTAAGTGTAGAAAAAAGACAGATATTTTAAATTAAGAATATCAAATGTGGTTTTAGTGAAATATATGCTGATAATAATAAACAAATCAGTCACTACGTTAAAAAAAAACAGAACTATTTACTGAACAAAAATTGTTTAGTGTGAAGTAGGACAAACTGTATATAATCAATATTTAGTGTAAAATATTGATTAATGAAAGGACAATAATGAAAGGAAAGACAAGTATATAAATGGAGCTTTTTTTTTAATTGATAATTAAAAGAAAGAAATGTTTACTAAACAAAAATTGTTCACTTAGTGCTTAGCTATAATAATAATATTTTTAAACAAAAAATGCACATTTTGTAGCTTACTGTTTTGAATATATATATTTATGTAGAAATTATAGATAAAAGTTTGTGAGAAAAATAAACAGATTCTAGAATAAAAAACCCTGTGGCACAGCAATATGTCTACAGACTTACAACACTAGAAACCCAGTTTTTGATACCCATGGTGGGCAGGGCACATATAGCCCATCGTGTGGCTTTGTGTTTAACTACAAACAACATGTTGTAGAATAACATGAGTCTAAGAAATACTTAAAATTTCTTGACATGCTGATGAGTTGTCTTCAAATGGTAAAGTGGCCTAGTATTTGTAGTATCATTTCTTGAACTAATTGGTTAAAAGAAATACTTCTGTCATTGAAAGTAGTGTTTTCTACCATAATTATGAAGTCAAGTCAGTAGTTAAGAGTATATAACTCCTAAATTACCAGTAGTTAAATTTGGTTTTGAAATTTGTCAGTACAGTACTGTTGAATAGTTATGATCTTTTATTTCAATCTATAATTCATTCAAAAATATGAATACAATTTCCTGTAGGAAAACACTGTGGAAAAATAAAGCCCAAGTTTGACACAGAAACTTGATTTGTTTTAATTATACATACTAATCCTCAAGAAAGGAGCCCATACTGAAAACTATCAGAAAAAGTTTAATAACACTTTGGGCATTCTTATCAAGTTTTACACATAAGAAAATTTTATGGAACATTTTTTATAGAATTGTTATATTTTAAAGTGAAAAATCATGAATGTGCTAATAAATAATGTTATTATTTCATTGGTTTGTGTAATATGAAAATGTTTTATTTTCAGCAATGAACAACTCACTGAACAGGAAGTAGAGGTAATTTACAAAATATTGTATCCATTTTGTTAAAGAAGCATTTTTGAAAAAGAAATGTTTTTGTAAAAATAGATTAACACATGTTAAGTATACTTTAGGCAATCCTGGAAATTCATTATGGAAATCTTATGGAAAATTCTTAAAGGTTTTAGAAAAGTTTTGAAATTTAAACAAGCAGACCCAAAACTTTTAATAAAGTTTAAAAATAAGTAAACAGTTTGAAAACATCAGTTATCAATCAAAAGGACTGTTTTGGCATGTGTGCATGTGCACTCTCAGGTTTTGTATATGGATGTGTGGGCGGGATTCTTTACAGTAGGTGTCTGTGACTTGTTGGCAATAAATTTCAATAATAAATGGACAGCACACAGTCCATTTGTTTTAAAATAATGTATTAAAAACAGGTCAAATGTATATACAAATGTTCATTACACAGTAAATCACCACAGTTGTATCCAGAGCTTTAAATAATCATCTGTTTTCATCAACAGTCCACACAGGCTGGTTCAGTTACTTTAGAACCCAATTGACAAGGCAAATTATTCTTCTCTATTCTATTATCACAATACAGTGAGTGATAAGTTCACTTACGTTACCCTGTGGGTTACCACAGTTGTATCCAAAGCTTTAACTAATTCTCTTTTATGTTAAAAGTCCATTATTATTATTCTTTACTCTGCTATTACAATACAATCTGCAATTATTACACTTTAAATATCACTAATATACTATTTTTACAGACTAGATCTATTTGGCTATATCTATCACTAACTTTATTTTACTTTCACTAACTTACTTATTTGCGCTAACTTTGTCACCTAAACATATATTGCCCAACTGAGGCCTATAACTTTCTACAAACTATGAGACATAATGATGTAATAATACTTACTTGAAGCAATTAGAAAAATTCAGAAGGTTCGAGTAAAATGACATCAATTCACAACAATTGAACTACATAACAAATGATTCATAAACAGTTATGTAAAAAGACCTGCCATAACTGTCATTTCTCAAAATAACTTACTTTAACACTTGTACAATATAAACTAAATAATACTCTCATATTAAACTTAAAATGAACAGTCTTGTATATCTAACATGCACATTATTGTCTGACATACTGCATGAGTCCCAGAAAAGATCACCACATTTTAACCAGTTTGTTGATACTATGATTCAACCAGGTATGTAGCTTGTTTTTTTATAATACTTTGTTAAACGTTGCTAGTTTGGATATAAGAACATATAAACAGTAATATTTGTATTAAGAGGTTACAATTTTGCATAATCTGTTATACTTCATAGGACTTCAAAGCACTTATGCTTAGGCTAGATTTTAAGTCATTTTTATGAATCATTTATTAACATATCTAATGTTAGTACACAGGCTAATTGTTTAACTAGATCCAGATCTTGTCTATAGATCTGGATCTATATTATACTTTAGTAAAAATTCTTTACTCCCATCTCCTGTCAGACAAGAAATAATTCTAGATGCTTTGGAGAGTTTGTAAAATTCTTCTTTCCTTGTCTCATGGACAGGCCAGTGTCAAAAGGGGCTTTTCTGTAAATAAGGAAACTATTTCAGTTTTCCCTGAGCTGATGTTACATTGGAACATCATCATATGTTGGCCAGATAGAGCCAAGGAACAATGGACTGTATCGTTGTACGTAGCAAAGGGAATAACAGTACCTGCATTACACAAATGGTGTCCCATGGTTTATTCCTGTATTTCAGTCCAGTTTAATGCAGTTACAGTAGTTATGCATGAAATGAGCTGTTTCCTATCAAGAAAGCAGGCCGTATTAGCTTGAACAGTCATCTGTCCAATGAGGGATGAATTCCTAATGCTATTTTGTAATTAGTGGTGACCAGCTATCTAGATGTGTGCTGGAATAATTATAGGCACAATAAGTAAAATGGAAGTAACAGATACTAATGGTAATACTAAGTTTGTGTCTGTGACAACATGGCCTAAAAGCAAGTATGCAGCTATCAACACATTTGAGATCATTGGTTGAGGATTGTGTAAACAATCTATGCCCAATTTAGCAAAAGCAACTCTGTGACTTGTTGGTTGAATATTGTGATATGTTTGTGGGATCAGATGGCCAGTTGGGTCAGACAGTGGTGTTTCAACACCATATGGATACAGGCAATGTACACCAAATAAAGCAACCATCATACCAACTTCCCTGGAGCAGTATGGAGATTGCCTGTACTGAAATTCAGCAAATGTTGAAGGAGTCATACAACCTTTGAAGATTGTTTGATTATCTCCAGTAGTGATTTTCTGGAAGCAAGATTGGATACCAAGTTTTTGTGTTAGTTTTAGCATGAGAGATGGCTTGTATATATTCCACGTCATGCCATTCAATCTGTGTAACATGCTCGCTACTTTCAATAGGCCAATGGATCTTCCACTGAAACTGAAGGGACTGCAGTGGGAGAGATATGTCTGGGGTCGGTAAATAGTGTTTCAGTGTTTGATTGCACTTTCGAATCTGCAGCTAAGAACCTAAGAATGGTATTCCAGTGAATAAATCAAGTAGGTTTGACAGAAAAATGTTTCATTATATGAACAGAAGTGGATTTTCTCAGTCATACTGTAAGGAGAGGCAGTCTGTATGGAGTCGGTTGATATAGCTGTGGTGTGAGATTGGCCTCAATCTATGACCAGATGAGAAGTTTTCTTGGTTTTATGTTACTGACAAGTTGTGATCAACTTTTCCAAGATAGCAGCATCATTTCTTACAAAAATCAAAGTGCACTTTGGAAAGAGCAAGGAATGTGGCCAACCATTCTAATCCCAAAGTCCTGCTTTGGTGAATGCTCAGGGCTAGCTCCCCCATAAGGCTGTTAGTTCTTATTATATACACCAATGTCTGACTCACTGATCTTATTTTCAGACTCCAAGTCAAGACAGCACGCCAATAGCTCATCCCTGATGTATGAACACATTTTATTAACATATTCCTTGCACTTTCACAGCTTCATATCTGTTGTAACTCATACACGAATGGACCAAGTTTTTATTTTATACAGTCGTTGAAAGGTTTCTTTAAATATTTGAGGTACCAGTTGCAAAATACTTTCATTGTTTGTGATGATTGTTTACAATTTTTCTTTGTTTATGTATTAAATTATTATTATAGGGGGTTTGTTTTTCCTTGACTTTTAAAAGTTTCTTATCTCATTATTTTATTGATTAAAAAGTGTTCTTATTTTAATTCCATCTTTAATTGTTAAAAAGGATTGATTGTAGTTTATGACTTTTAAAGGGCAGTTGTTTGTCCATGATTAGTCAAATGGCATAATAAGTTACACTTCCCTGTTTTAAAGGGGGCAAACAGTCTTTGTTCAAGGGTTTTATTTATTGTCCTTATTTTATTTGCATAGTTTGGTAGGCTAACCCTTATAAGGGTATAGGTATTTCTTTTTAAAGTCATTTTTATATGTAAATCATTGTTAAAGGCTATTTTTATCTTTATGTGTGTTTGCATATTGCTTTTGGATGTTAAAAGTTTATTTTATGTGTTATTCATTATAGGTATTCCTGTTTTATGTATGCCAGTATTTGATTTAGATATGTTCTTTATTAACGGGTAATTTTTTATATATTAATAATCATTAAAGGATTGATGTTTGTATGATATGTCATTTTTTTCATTAGGACAAGGTTTCTTTTGTTTCTTTTTGTGTATTATAGTACATTTTAAATCATGACCAAGGAGATTTTCTTTTCACTATTTTTATATTAGGTTACATTTTAAGTAAAAATTGAAAATGTTATTTTTTTGCAGTTTAATGTAGTTCTTTGTTTAAGAGTTGTATCTTCATGTGGCATGTAATTGTTCTTAAGAACAAAGGAAGGAAAGCCAGTGTCCACCTTGAACATGAATGAATGGTTTTAAGTTTGATTTTGAATGTTGGCTTGAGATCAAACCTGAAACAGAGATGAGGAGATAAATGTGACATTTTTGCATATTGGGTTTTTCACCATTTTTTAGTAGTAAACTTAAAAAAAAAATCATCAGTTTTGTTTCTATGCATGTTTAGCATAAACTCATGGTCCAGAAAATCCTTGAAATTGTGTCATTCCAGTTGCCTTTTTTTTCTGTAGTAGATAATGCCTACTCAGTCTGATGGGATGTTGCAATAATGTCACACTCCTGTGTAGAAACGGTCAATGACTGCAATGTCCTTCACTGGTGGAGTGGAATATGTATGCATGGTATGCTAAACAAAAGATGTGAGAGAATCGCCAGACACATTGTGATAATATAACAAAGAAAGGATACAGTGTTTCTTGTAAGATTGGAACCTATATACTTGGTTTTTATCATAAACAGTTCTGCAGGGAATTAAGCTGTTGATCTATTCACAGATCCATTAGTATGATGATTGTTTCATACCTAGGGAAGTATGCATACTGTTTTTATTGTTCCTTTGATAAAGATTGTTTTAATTTTCCATTAAATGTGTTCAGTGTGTTTATTTCTCATATAGGTGAAAACTTAATCGAGGTTTCAAATTCACATTACTCTAAAAATGTCCTATTTGATTCTGCAACAATTCAGTGGACCTATTTGGTACTTACAGGGAAATCAGTTCACCTAGGAATACCACACATTTACCATATATTTGAAATATTTAATAAAAAATGTTTTGTGTTCGAAGTCATGCCGTAAGTCTCATTATATATATATATATATATATATAATATATAGATATTCCGTTATATATATCTATATATTCAGTAACTGATTATTACTATTAGCAGCATAAAAGAGCTAACAGAAAATTTTAAACTTTAATATGTTGGAGAAAGTAAATATTATTTTACTGTATGAATTGAGCAAGTAGCTTTAATAATCCTTTCTTTGTCAACAATTTGTGTGCAATATTTTTATTTCCTAACATGATCATTGTTTTTCCACACAGTATGACAACTTTGAGACATTTCTAATTGCACTGAAACTGAATTTTTTTAGCTACATTGTGAGATAAAACGGTGCTTTTTTACACTCCACAAAAGTTAATCTTATTATACCGAATGATACCACTGTTACAAATAGAAAATATAACTAACAAATCTTCTTGTTCATAAAACATAAACCTACTGTGAAGAGATATCCTGGATTGCTTGTCTACTCACATGTGTCATGCTCTGTGATTGTGGACCAGTAATAAGTGTGCAGGCTTATAACGCTAACAGCTGGGTTTTGCTAGCCATGGTAGGCACAGCACAGATAGCCTATTGCGTAGCTTTATGCTTAACAAGAAACAAACTTTGATTGTGCAACTTTATTCATACCAGATGTCATATGTTTATTATGTGACCAAAGGTGAAGTCTGGAATATTTCTAACATTTTAATAGTGGTGTCCAGTTTCCTAATAATGATAAATTAACTTACCTAAATGTAGTGTACAGCTTATTCTAAAATATTAAGTAAAAAACTTCTAAATTCACATCAGAAAAAGTTACAAAAACTATGTTAGGTTTTTTCAGAAGTGTCAATTGCATATTCCTTTAAATTATATTCTCATCTAATTTTTTTTTTCATTTTAAATGTAATATGTTTTCTTATAATGTGGAAGTTCAATACCTATCAAACAATATATTTCAGAGTAAGTTTGGAAGCCTGTCACTAGCATTTAAAACAGACAAACTGACTTTAAGCAAAAGGCTAGAGCTTCATCAACGGCAGAGGAATACTGCAGAGAAAAACATTGAAAATGAAATTAAGGCTTTGAAAGAATCTTTAAATGTAAGTAGCCTTGTCAGTGTATTGACTTTTGGTTACTAATATATCTTTAACCCACTAAGGGCCAATGTCACAATTTTAGAATGCAAGTTAAAATTATTATATATTAAAACTTATGAATGAATTGTTTAAACTTTTCAGATTAAACTGACATTGCATTTTTTTACATAGCAATGTAAGTGAATTATAATTTATTGTTAATTTCATCAACCACTGCACACTTATATTTTGTTGATATTTGCATAATTGACTTGGCATAACTGTTTTGTGAAGTTTCTTGTTTGCTTACTTAGAGGATTAAACAGTTTACTCGTCAAAATGTTTGTTAGTTATGGGTCCCTAATAACATATGAGACATACAAAAACAATTCTCAAAAATATCATCAATATTGCATTTAATTTCACTAATTGCTTTTAATTGATTTTATTAATAAGAATTTTCTGACATGTACCACATGCTATTGTTTGGAGACATGTTCATGTGTTTAGGATGTAAATATGATAAAAGGGCATCATTTTTATTGAATGTTATGTGAACTTAAACAATTCTGGTCATATATGTTAAAAGGTTTTCTGTAAAAATTGTGTTTAAGTGATCCCAGTTAGTTTGAGTGATTTTTGATGAACGTTAAACCTTTTTTGTAGAATTGAAATGTTCATCAAAAATAACTAACATGAAGTTAGATGTATTAATTACTAGGTTAATTTTTAGTTCTGATCTATCGAGATATACATAAGTAGCTTACATTGAGCCCAAACCAAGTAGTGTACATATAAATTATATTTTTGTTTTCTCTTTAATACTGTGAAAAACATTTTCTTCAGTCTTTTCTTCACTTGCCATTACATATTCCTTATACATAGTCCATTTGATTTCAAGCTTGAAACTTCCTGACTTTGAATTTTCATTTGTTTTCTTAGAGAAAATTGGCCCATACTGTATAAAGTACTTTTTCATTTGATTTTGTTTTCAGTGCTTTGTTTTTATTTCTCTAGTATCTTCTATTATTGATAACTTTTGTCTTTGGCATTTGTTTTGTTTTACTGTTTACTTTGGCAAATGTGCAATATATGAGTTAAAGTACCATAACTGAACATCTTCACTCTCTTGGCCATGGGGGCATTATAATGTATTGGTCAATCCCACTACTTGTTGGTAAAGAGTAGACCAAGAATTGGTAATGGGTGGTGTTGATTAGTTGCTTTTACTCTAGTCTATCACTTCAAAGTTAGGGATAGCTATTGCAGGTAGCCCTTCATTTAGCTTTTGTGAAAAATTAAACAAATATACTTATGGCAACTAAGATACTTAAATAATACATGTGTTAGGTTTTTATGCATTGTTTATATTTTTCTTTGTGGATTATTTTTACTAACTTGTACTTAAATAAGCATAGAGAGCTTGTGCATTTAGATGCTTGTTTGTTCCATATTAGTCTAGGTGTGAATTAATATTTTTGTAATTTAATGTGTGTATGTTAATTTCTTTTCAATTATACTAAGATTTTTTAACCTGGTATGTATTGTTATACAAAGATTAGGTTAAAAAGAGAACAAATTGCATGAAATATTTTGAAGTGAAAATATACAGTTGAAAAGTCAATAATAATATATAAGAAAGTAGTGAAATATGAAAAAATTCCACCTATTTTAGTCATATCCAATGGCACTTACACAGTGTTTTCTTAAATTATAATATTTCAACTAATAGACATAATAGGCTGTACCTTATTGAAAGTACAAATTAAGATGTTATTACCAATTCTGATTAAGGAGCATGTGTCTATTAACCAGTTCATGTAGTGCTTGTATACTGTAGTATTAAATTATTTTTATGTTTTAATTCAACTATATATGACATCATAACAAGACATTTCAAATTTTAATGTTTTTTTCTCTTAAGTAATCCACTTTCTGAATAATTATGTTTTTGTAATTCAATATAGCAAACTTTTCTTTTTTTTATAAATGGCAGGTGTTATTATAATAGCTACTAATGTATGACTCATACAAAGTTTCACATATTTGTTTCAAGGTTATAAGTCAACTAAGTACTAATCATCAAGTGCGAGAGTTGATCACAAGCATTAAACAACAAGTAGATGTTCTCCAACAGTCTACCTCTAGAGTATCCTGTCGAGCTGAAGTTTATGGTGCTGTTCAGCAGGTAGTAATTTCTTGATAAATTCATTGATATGTTTTGCTTACTAGTTTTTTTGTAAGCTTCAAGTACTGGTAGATCACAAACACAGCAAAGGGAAAATAAGAAACACAAATCTCAATGTACTACTAGGGTCTTTTGCTTGTATTGGCTGTTATTTCCTGCAGGAGTAGGAGAGTAGGCTTATAGAAAAATGCCTGAACAGGACGGAGACAAGATCAAGAATAATGATGATACCACAGTGCAGGCTGAATCAAAGGCCTGGTGTGATGTCTCCTCAATCCTTAGATTATCTCAGTCAGTGATCATTCCAATTTTATATACATTCAAGGAAGATGAACCCCTAGCTCACGTTAACTGGTTCAAGTTTCTGTACCATCCCTTGAAATCGGTATGACCTCATTCTATAAGAGTATGATAGAGAAACAGGACAAGCAAGTAAAAGCCTTATGGAACAATTATTGTGGTATACAGTCTTTGCCTAAGTAAGGCAACTAGTGCAAGTTTATGGTTTTTGATTGTCTGATTTACAAATGTCATAAAAAAAGTGCAAAACACCTGAAAAAAAATTGTTTTTTAATCTATCTGAAAATACCTTAGGTACTTTATATGAAAATGATTTTGGAGCCTCACTACATTATTACAGTTCATGTCACAACATCTGGTCATGCTCTATCTGATGACCATGTATCTTGACCTTACCTCTGAAGTGTAGTTTCCATTGTAAGGCTGTCATGTACAAAACACACCAATCCTCCATGGTTTACTGTTTCCATTATTTCATTATGTTCAAAATAATTAACTGAACATGTAGAGCTTCATAAGGTGTTTAGTATATATTATAGAATGGAAAAATTGTTTAATAATAATACTGAAATAGTTAGCTTCCCTGAATAAACAACACTCTAAAGTTGTTTAATATTTGTTTTTGTCATCACTACAGGAAGAAAGAGTGAATCGTGCATTTGACGTTATGGTTATGTATGTAGAAAATATGAAGCGAATATATGAAAAAGAACACCATGAACTGGAAGAAACCCGACGTTTGTTGATGGAAAATCATCTTGTCCCTGTTGATAGTGAATCAGCTGGAGAAGATAGCAGAGTACACAAATCACGACGTTACTTGACTGTTTCAAATGTCCCAAAATTTGTGAGTTTATCACAAATTTCTATTTCATAAGTAATATTTTAATCAAGTTAATCAACAAAAGTTTTGAATTTTGAATATTTTGGATCATCATTTTTTTACTTTTAAGTTATCAAAACAATTTAGATGTGTTTTGAAATATGATGTACAGTAAAAGTGAACAGTAAAGAAACTTGTGAAATGTCTGAATTACTGAAGTAATAATAAAATATTGATATGTTTTTCATAAAATAGATCTTTTTTGAATTTAAAACGATAGTCAATGTAATAAGATAGTATGTATGATTAACAAATGTTATGGTAAAATATAAAATACTCTTGTTTTTTTAATGACAGCTATATTTGTAGAATTCCTTTTTATGTTTGTTTCAATTTATTAATAAGTTGTATTGTGTATATTAATAATAAGCTCTTTCAACTTGCATCATTAATGCTCATTGATTAAAATCTGAACTGCATTTTTAGTGATGCTGATGGTGCTTAAGGGAGGCTGGTACTACTGACATTGGTGGCAAAAGGCTATAGTGTGCTAAACTTTTCTAGTATTTTTACTTGGATTAGAAATGTTTATATTATTCATTGGTCACTGTTTGGTACTCAATTTCTGACTTAATTTGCGAAAGCGTATACTAACCATTTTTGAGTAAACTTTTCTTTTTTTGCTGCATTGAGGACAGTCATAAAAAGGTACAGCAGATTTTTAATTTTCTTTCTTTCAAGTGTACATTTAAAACAAAATATAGTATTAATTTTAACTTCTTCATTGCTTATTTTCTACTTTGGATTTTACTTCAAACTTATTTTGACATTGTGTTTTGATATAATGTATACTTTCAGTGCTGACTATTTAACTAGAATTTCACACTGATGTAGCATTATATGCTAATGTCATATATTTAGTTTGTTCAAATTCCTTCGTGTTTATTTTCCATGTTTTTTCTTGTGTTTCATGTTTTCAAAATTAGTTAGTGACATAAGTATAATTATTAAATATTCATGGTTGTTTACCACTGTTTAAGAATGTATTTATTCCATTTAAATTCATAAAATCAAATTAGTTATTTTACTTGTAATTCAGAAATAAATATATTTAATAGAATATGATCAGATCTTTCAGAAGGTTAAGTTTTGCTCTTCATTTCAGTGATTACTTTTGTTTTTCATAGGCACCTCGATTAGCTCCTTACTCTGTCCACCTTCAAGCTGTTAAAGAGGTGAATTACTTTTTTGTATCTCTATTAAAAAATTCAGAATTGGAATTTAAAGTACAATTATATTGAACACATGTAAATTTCAAGCTATAGTGTGTTTAAATATATATATATATAATTAGTCTTACACACTGTGCTACATGTTAATTCATATTTATCAAAGCATCTATAATTACAGATTTTTGTACATTGTTACATAAACTTTCTGTACAGTTTCTTGACATCTTCTTCAGCCCCCCCTCCAAAGTTACACAGTGATAAGTCTAAGGACTTACACGCATAACAAGGGCTATTGGTACCTGTGGTGGAAACAGCACAGATAGCCGTTTGTGTAGCTTTGCGCTTAACTACAAACAAACAAGTACCTTCTTCAGCCCATCCCAAAAAATGAAGTTTTAATGCCACCATGAGTACATTTTTTAATATTAAAATGATAATATCAAATCTGAGAAAATTTCAGTTGAATACTTTCAAAATAGATAATATGCTATGATAACTTGCATCTATATATTTGTATGAAAATTTATGGTCTTCTAATCTCACCTGTAGATTTCTAGAAGAGCCAGTGTAGCAATGTTTCACAGAACATCTTTCTTTGAGCGATATCTAAGTCCTTTACTTCCCAGTGGCAGTTTTATTATGGTAAGGATGCACCCATGTGATATCAGGATCAGACTTTAATGTAGTATTATTTGAAAATAATTAGATTGAGTTTCTGATGTGACCAGTATTTCAACGTTTTAGTTTGATTTATGACCTACCTCACAATTCTACTGAGGTTAATCACACTTTATAAGAACAATATTCAGGTGTTCTGCCCTTATAACTACTTAACCATGATTGATTATGCTCCGTCTATGCCAGTGATTACCCACTAATACTTTTCACCACAATTTCTATTGTAACAAGCATCTGAAATTAACATTTAAGTCAGTGTAAGATCACATCTTCTTAAACTTTCTACGGACTTTTCATTGTACATGGATGTACATTGGAGCTGCAATGGATGACTTAGCAATGTAGTAGTTTGAGCTGTTAAAGGAAAAGCCATATCACAGCAACTACTAATACATTACCCTTTAGCTCAATCAGTAGAGCACTTGTGAGTTCAAATCCTACATGTTAAAGATGTAAAAAAAATGGATTACCACAGCAAGCAGGTGGATGAATGGGATTGCTGTGAACCTAATTCCTTTGAACAATTATCTAATGAAACAGCCATTTATTTCAAGGTGTGACTAGAAGTTCTTAAACTTTTGGCTTGTGAGCTTTTGTTAACTTCAAATTTTTATTTTAATTATCTTGTTAAAATACCAGGAGATATGCCTAGCTTCATTGCAATAGTTCTTTTTGAGCAAGAATGCATCCTTTTTTAGCCATAGTCTTCACTTTGCAAAATAATGTATTCCTTTAGATTGAATTTATTATACTTTTGGATAATGTTACTGTTGTAAATATTCTGCTGTGCACCTTTTTCCTTTTATAGAGAACATTGAAGACTATTCTTCAAAATGTTGTGTCCTTCAACTGTATATCATTAACAGTCTTACTGTATAGAATTCTTATATTCCATCAACCATTAGGCTTCCTGTGGCAGAATTGTAAGTCATGTTGCCAGGAATTAGTCATAAGCCAGACTTTTTGTCTGTAGTACCACTGCTCATATCTGCAGAAGCACACTATTGTGTTAGCATATACAAATCATTCAAATAAAGTGTTATTAACTCTCTGTCCACATGTAAGAAATTTTACATTTATTTAACTGTAGTCTACCTACAAACAATATAGTGCAATTGAGTCTGCTTTTTTACATTAGAAACCTTTGTACTATACGTATATGTTCAGACTTAATATATTAGATTAATAATATACATTTATCGAGTTACCTCAGTGTGAGTTTAGAACCTAAAGCGTTTATTATATTTACTTGTTACTAATAATTACTTAACAGATGTAAGTCAAAATATGTACACTTTTTTTAATACATGGACATCTGTAGTAGAAAACTAAGGTACTTACACAAAGCACCTTCAAAAATATATTTTTGTGTTGTATTTTTTCCTTAATGAAATAACTACATTTTTTATGTACTGAATTCTAAAATGTTATTTTCAATTAAGCTGAAATATTATATTACTGAAAACGCCACCCATGTCATCAAGTACCAGTTTCCCAGCTGTTTAAGGCTTGGCTGTAGGAGTAAATCTTTGTTATTATCTTAAATTGAAATACTAATGTATTCAAGTTTATTACGAATTTATCTGTTTTTACTTGCTAGCATACAAGGAAATCGTTTGGTAGTAGATAAGGTAAGTAAATGGAAGTGAAGTGATGGTGTTAAAACTGACCTAAGCTTTACATAATTTTGTAAATTGTGTTTGATATAAAATAGATTGTGTAGCAACAAATTTTTTTATCATATGTTCTTTTTTAGATATCAGCTTTGATTGCATGTGTTGAAATTTTTCAAGTCTAAATCTGTCGGGTAGATATGCTTAGCTATGTCAAGAATATTGTATAGGTTTAGTATAGCTATGTCATTGATGTATTTGCATGCTCTGTTAATTTGTAAAGCTTTATGTTGGCATATCTTGTGAAGTTGTGGAATGTATTGATTCAAGTTCAAAAAGAAATAAAACATGTTATTAATATTGTTGATATAACTGAAAAAACAATAACATTATTCAACATGATCAGTTACTAAAATATCTTTTCCCATTGACTTCTCTTATATCATAAAAACATTAGAAATGTATCAGTACACAGTAGTTTTATTGTGACCAGTATTCATGATACACCTTGAAACCAACCCTGTAATAAATGACACTTCATCTGCTACTGTACTAATAAATGAATGTTAATATGTGGACCATAAAAACACTGTCTTTTTCTTAACTTCTCATGCACTTCAAAGACAGTAGTATATTGTTTCATCTGTGAAAATTAAGGTTTTTCGTACATAGGCCAGACAGATCAAATATTAGACAAAAGAACCCAGGAACACATCAGGGAGAGACATTAAATATTGCAATCCTGGTAAACCTATTGCAAAACATTTTTGCACTTTTATCATTCTTTAGGACATTTTAAGTCTTTGTTCTCTGTCACACGCTAACCAAAAAAAGCAAATCAGAACTCCTAAACAAACAAAAAATAACGTTTCAGCAGGGCCCTAACAAACCTAACAGCATCACTGACTTGTTCAGCTTCTTACGATACATCACACCCATGTTTTGTTGAGGACCACCATAAGTTGATCTCTCTCTTCTGTCTTAAGTTTTGGCTTGTACCCACTACTGTGTTCCCTTTAAGCTGCACTACAACCAATCAAATGCTGCTTGCTTTATTATTCCAGTCATGCACATCTTCATTAATGATGAGGGGTCTCAACACATTGATGGCCTTAATGACCTTGGCAGTCAATAGGCTTAAAGCCCAAATAACCAACTGGCATCATTACAATGTGAGCTAAGGATTCAATGGGGTTGATGGTCTTAAAATATCACCCCCCCCCCCAGAAAAAAAAAAGCTGGTAGTGCACATTGCCTTGATACTGGTGCACATGAAAAAATTCATTCTGCACATGGATTGAAACATTAGAGGGAACATTGGCCACTATTGAAATTATAACTGTTTTTAACTTGATATGTAATGACAGTTGTATAATATTTATCTTGTATGAAGGATTTGCCTGCCTAGCATTGTTTGTATGTGAATGTTTATACACATACATAGTTACATTGTAACTGTTTAGTCTTCAAGAAATTAATGTTGCTTTTTTTTGGCTGAAAAACCCAAACAACTTATATATCAAAACAAAACATTTATTAAATGAAATAGTTT